GTATCCATCAAGTAGTTTAATCTGCTTCAGTGTCAGTCTACAGTGTGTTTGCAGTCCTCTGCAGTACTGCTTTTGAATTCATTTCAACTAGTAGGTCTTTCAGCACTTAGTCAAAGTACTCACTGTGTGCATTTGGCTTTTTTCTATATTTGATGGAGGGTGAATGTTGTCAGACCATTCAGAGATTCATTTCTCCTAGGGTCCTTAACAGTTCCTGCATGTGCAACCTCTCTCAGCTATACTAAGAGGGAACTATATGAACCGTTTTAACTGGAGTGAGAACTCAGTGTTACAAATGGAGCTTGGGACTCCATTTACGTGAACAAGATCGTTAATATGTGGTTACTGTGATTGCTCCAGTCTTTTACAAGGGGTTCACTACTGGTATTGCCCTTTAATGTTAGCAAAGCCAAACTGACTTGTGCTCTGTTGTTTTCCAGTAGTTCTCAAAATGGGCCTTTTTTTCTTTTTCTGCTAGCAATGACGCCTCAATGAACCACACAACAGTAGTGGAATTTGTCCTCTTGGGGCTGACCAACAGCCGCCATTTGGAGATCATCCTCTTTGTGTTTCTTATGACTGCCTACTTCTTGATCCTGCTTGGAAACATTACTGTCATCAGCATCACTCTTGTGAATTATTTCCTTCAGACCCCGATGTACTACTTCCTCAGAAATTTTGCCCATTTTGGAAATAACTTTCACCGCCACATTCATTCCCAGCACCCTCTACAGCCTTCTGACAGAGAGGAAGATGATTTCCGTGCCTGGTTGTTTCCTTCAGATGCTGCTTTTCTTTTACTTGGGTACCTGCATATATTTCCATGTAGCAACAATGTCCTTTGATCGGTATGTTGCCATTTGCCACTCTTTGCATTACACAACAATTATGAACAACAGATTTTGCCTCCAGCTGGTCCTGGCTTGCTGGGCAGTGAGTTTTCTCTTGATGTTTCCTCCCACCATTATGATTGTCCAGTTGCCATTCAGTGGTCCCAATGTCATGAACCACTTTTATTGTGATACTTCCCTGTTGTTGCAACTGTCCTGCACAGACACAGGGTTCATCGAAGGGCTGATGCTTTTCATACTAATTATCATCATACCTGGTACCTTAATAGTAACTGCTGTTTCTTATGGCTGCATTATTATCACCATCTTGCATATACCATCTTCCACAGGCAGGAAGAAGGCATTTTCCACTTGCTCTGCTCACCTCATGGTGGTGATAATATTTTACAGCACATCTATTTACAGGTATATCCGCCCAGCACAGCGAGGTGGGCAGGACTCTGACAAAGTTCTTTCTTTCTTCTTCTCTGTGGTGACTCAGATGCTTAACCCATACATCTACTCACTCAGGAACAATCAAGTCAAACAAGCCTTAAAGGAGAGCATGTTGAAGGCATTTTCTAGCTCCCTGAGACTGTTGTGCCCATCCAAGTGACTCAATTTTTTTCCCAGGTGCAACATCAGCACTGTGTAATAGTGAATTAAAGATACTGATTTCAAATGGTTTATGCTTTCTACAGGTTATGTAGTTCCTTCTTCTCTTAGCAACAAAAATATGCCAACACAGAAAGGATCTTCCAGTCCTCCAGTACCTAGACTCAGGTTTGCCTGTGTGTTTTTTTCCCCTTGCTGTGGTGGGTTAGCCTTGGCTGGCAACCAAATTCCCACCCAGCTGCTCATTCACTCCTTCCACCTCCATAGCAGGACAGGGCAGAAGAATAAACCAGGAAAAACAGTAACAAGAAATCTTGTGAGTTGAGATAAAGACAGAAAGATAATTTACCAATTGCTGCTCAAAGCAAAACAAATTGGATTTGGGGAAAAATGATTTAATTTATTGCCAATTAAAATAGTTTTAGTTGTGAGAAACAAAGGCAAATACTAAGCCAACACCTTTACTTTCTCCTTTCCCATGCTCAATTTTATTCATTCATTCCAGACTCCTCTACCGCTGCCCCAAGCAGTGCAGGGCAGATGTGGATGGTGATGGTCAATACATAGTGGTTTCCCTCTGCTGCTACTTTCTTCTCACCCTTTTCCTCTGCTCCAGTGTGGGTTCTCCAGAGGCTGCAGTGGATATCTATTCCACCATGAATCATTTCCTCCTCCTTCTCTGATCTTGCTGTTCCCTCTGTTCTTTCTCACTCTTTTTGTTCCTTCCTCCTCTTGCTGGCTGGCAATTTCTGCCCTTTCTTAAAGATGTTTTCCCAGATGTGCCACCAGCTTCACTCGTGGGCTCAGCTTTGGCCTGTGGTGGGTGCATTTTGGAGTCAGCTGGAAGTGACTGTGTCTGGCACAGAGCAGCCCCTCGTCTCTTCTTGCAGAGGCCACACCTGCAGGCCTCTTGTTACTAAAATCTTGGTGTGTGCATCTGCGGTGGGTTAACCTTGTCTGGCTGCCAGACGCCCACGAAGCAGCTCTCTCACTGCCCCTCTTCAACAGAACAGGGGGAGAAAATGAGGTGAAAAAGCTTGTGGATTAAGATAAAGACAGGGAGATCACTTACCAATTACCATCACAGGTAATGGCTGAACAGGGAACTCCTTGTGGAGCTCAAGAGGATAAAGAAATTGTATGATCTCTGGAAGGAAGGTCAGGCTTCACAGGAAGATTACAGAGCTATGATTTGTATATGCAGGGAGAAGACATGAAAGGCTCAATTAGAGTTGAAACTGGCCAGTGTTGTATCTGACAACAAGAAGGGCTTTAACTATGTCAATAGCAAAAGGAGGTCTAAAGAAAACATTGGACTGATACTTGTTGAAGACGATTACCTGACTAATAGGGATGAAGGTAAAGCAGAGACATAGAATCTTAGAATCATTTAGGTTGGAAAAGACCTTTAAGATGGGTGAGTCCAACTGTAAACCTAGCACCACCAAGTCCACCACTACATCCACATGTCTTTTAAATACCTCCAGGGATGGTGACTTAACCACTTCCCTGGGAAGCCTGTTCTAATCTCGAAAACTCTTTCAGTGAAGAAATTTTTTGTAATATCCAATCTAAACCTCCCCTGGCACAACTTGAGGCCGTTTCCTCTTGTCCTATCACTTGTTACTTAGGAAAAGAGACCAACACTCACCTTGCTTCAACCTACTTTCAGGCAGTGGTAGAGAATGATAAGGTCTCCCCTGAACCTCCTTTTCTCCAGGCTAATCAACCCCAGTTCCCTCAGCTGCTCCTTATAGCACTTGTTCTCTAGACCCTTCACCAGCTTCATTGCTCTTCTTTGGACACGCTCCAGCAGCTCAATGTCTTTCTTGTAGTGAAGGGCCCAAAACTGAACACCGTATTCAAGGTGCAGTCTCACCAGTGCTGAGTACAAAGGCACAATCACTTTGCTGGTCTTGCTACCCACACTATTTCTGATGCAGGCCAGGATGCTATGGGCTGCCTTGGCCACCTGGGCACACTGCTGGCTCATATTCAGCCAGCTGTCAACCAACGCTCCCAGGTCCTTTTCTGCTGGGCAGCTTTCCAGTCACTCTTCCCCAAGCCTGTAGCATTGCATGGGGTTGTTATGACCCAAGTGCAGGACCAGGCGCTTTGCCTTGTTGAATCTTTGTTTGTCTGTTCCCAGAGCTCTTTGAGGAAACTTGCAAGGTCATGAAGTGTTGAGATCCTCGTATTTTTGAAAAAAAGCATAACCTCAAACATTAAAAGATCAAATAACATGATCAAAACTGCTATGTGAAGCTTGCTCAGTTTCACCCCCTCACAAGAGACTCTGCAAAGGAAATGCCCTACCCTCTCTATTTTGTTAATGACTGGTTTCATTACTTTTTCCTTGTCTAGAGTCTACTGAAGAAGCTAACTATATGTGTCCAGTTTGGTTTGTTGGATTATTCTTCACAGATTTTTCCAACTACCAACAACTGCAGCCAACCAGCCCTATATGTTTCATGCAAATTACCTGATGATCCTTTACTTCTGGTATGTTTTTTTCCATGAGTGCGCTTGGTTAATAGATTAAGAAACGAAACTGAATTGTGGACAAGAGCTTTGTTTTGAGGTACCACAGAAAATAAGGAACAGCACTTGGGTGATGCAAGTGTGAGGTCCAATGTCTGCTACTAACCCACCATTAGGAAGGAGTTTTGGGAATAATCACAGCCGTGTGTAATCACTGTACTGTAACATATATACAAGCTGGCATAGTGTGTGGTTTGTATGTTTTTTTAACGTTTTTGTGATTTTCTACCTATCTGGTTCTTTAAATACCGTTGGGTTAGAAGGTAGATTTATGTTTGCCTCAACAAAAGACTAATCCCTTTGGGCTGGTAACATACAAATTTGTGCTTTAAAGCCTGTTTGTTATCTTTGCATTTCCTAATCAATGGACTTGGTCATGCATAGTCACTCTGACATCTTTTCTTTTTCTTTGAATATAATGTCTTATTGCAGATGACAAATGTCAGCACTTGCATCTAGTTTACAGTTACAATAACAGTTTTATTTGTATTTAGATCACCAGCACTTTTGGGCTTTATGTATTTGGATCACCAGTAAATTTATTTTCAACAAACTTTATAATTACATTCCTGTCATAACAAGAGGTGATGAAAGAGGAGCCACACTGCTAGGAAATACTTTCTTTAAAAACTACAATTTACAGTTCATGTTACAGAAAACCAAAGGAAATAATCCAAAGCAATAACTAAACTAAAACATAGACATATGGCTTGAGTCAGTGCTTCCTACATTCTAAGTGGTACAAAGGCTTTCAGAGTGAACTGTAAATGGAGTGGACAATAAGGGCATTCTCAAGATCTCCACGTTCCTGACTTTCTATATAAACTACAGCTCATCTTAGACAGGCTCTGTAAGGAAGTTTCCAAGAAACATTCCTGTGTGCATGATTCTGTGTTAGAATTCCCCCCTCCCAGAGTTCAACTAATGATACCTACCAGGACTAAGAAAACATTTGGATTGAAATACGTTTTTCTGTTTCATTATTAAGACCCTCTTGCCAAGATGAAGTCACAGATGTCTGCCAAGCTGATGTTTAACCAGAACTCTGTGGTGACCTAATTCATACTTCTGGGTTTTCCCATGGCCTGGGAACTGGAGGTCCTCTTCCTCATTGTGTTTCTCATACTCTATGTAGTGACAGTCTCTGGGAATGTGACGATCATCTCAGTTACACTGGCTGATCGTTGTCTACACAGCCCCATGTATTTCTTCCTTTGCAATCTCTTTCCTGCATATCATGGGCAACAGCCATTGTTCCAAAAATGATGAAAGGTTTAATCTCTTTGGAAAAGACTGTCTCTGTGCCTGCATGCATCTCAGAATGCTATTTCTACTTCTTTTTTTGGCACTACCGAAGTAATTTTCTTGGCTGTCATGTCACTTGATCGCTATGTGTCCATCTGCATCTTACTCCACCATCATGAGCACCCAGATGTCCTTCCAACTAGGGCTGGCTTCTTGGGCTAGAGGCTTATTCTCTGCCCTCTCTCCCATGATCATTATCTCTTGACTCCCTTCTGTGGGCCAAATGTTATTGATCACATTTTTTGTGACATTGAGCCATTGATAAAGCTCTCTTGTGCAGAAACCTGTCTCCTGGAGCTGGTGAAGTTTCTCTTGTCCACTGTGATGCTCTTATGCTCTCTGGCATTTACCATTCTCTCCTATCTGTCTAAATATGTAGCAACAGACAAACTTTCTCCTTGAATGGAGAAGTACAAAGAGTTGTTTGGTCTCAATATGCCAACAGCTTAGTGATCCAGATTAGCAAAGGCATTTGAAATTAGAGGGCTGCAGATTTCTAATATGCTTTTGTAGATCTGGATCATAGGGACCTAACTCCTTCATGAATTATTTTAAGAGGAAACTTTTGTTTCCAGCCTAAAAATCTTTGCACAAAAGTTCTTATTTTGCCCTCATTCCATATGAAAAAAATCTGTCTTCGATGTTATAGACCTGAGCTCAAGGTACTAACCAGATCAGTGTGCAATTCATTTGAATTAGCATCATGTAGCCACCATCTCACCTGGAGCTTCTGGGGACCTAATGCTTAACCTTTGTTTTAGAGGAGGCCTCATGGCAGAAGTACATATGAGTCTAATGCCACAGCTCACCTGTCATTGTGCACCAAGGGAAGCAGGTGAGACATGTATGAATACATAATTTCTCTTTAGAGCTATCAGGCTTAGGTGAAGTTAGGAAAGTGTGTTCATTGAATGGTCTGGAACTAATAAAGCCTGAAAAGTTTCTCTAGTTATTCTTCAAAACTATTTTTCTTGCACTGAAGTGTGTCTAGTGAAAGAAGAAAAAAAAAAAATCACTTAAAGCTGTTCTGGAGACAGGTACAGGCCAGGATTTTAGCAAACACTTGAAAACATGAGCTCAGTCATTGGCTAGTGTCTCCATGAACACACTTTTAGGTCACAGAGTAAACTGCAAATCAGTCTAAGAGTGTGTCTTATGTGTGCAAACTAGGCATTAAAATGCTGTTGTTACTCTCTATAGTAAGCAGTTCACGTCTCTGCATCAGTACACTTAAGAAAACCAAAAACCCAAACATCCCCTTTTTCCTTTTAAGTCTTGCTAGTTAAAGCTTGGGTGTGGTCTGAAATATTTATTTTATTTATGTATTCATTTGTTCCTTTATTTATTTATTTATTTTCTAGAGAGAAACTAGAAATATTACTAGATTTACAGTACTAAATCCTACATCTTCGATACTAATGGGAAAAGAAATTATTCTAATCATGACGGTTTGCAGGTTATTAAACAGGTGTTTGCCAGCAGGCCAGATTTGACAGATGTTCCTCTCCAAGCTCCAGATGAAGAACTATATAACGATGGAAGCAGTTTTGTTGTGAAAGCAGAGAGGAAGACTGGCTATGCTGTGATAGCCCTAACTGAAGATCGAGAGATTAAAACAGTACCTCCAAATACATCAGCACAAGAAGCAGAAATAATTACCTTAACCAAGACTCTGAAGCTGGCCAAAGGAAAAGAGTTAATATACTACGGTGTAAAAAGGACAATAAGGAGTGGTGGATTACCTCACATGGACATTGTATAGTGACTTCTGAGGTTATGAGAAAGCTGCAGAAGCAATGGTGGAATCACTAAAATGTTACACAATAGGAGTCAAACTGTTGCTTATTATCGAAAGTATAATCAACAAATGTGAAATCTGTCATAGGAACAATCCAAAAATACAAACTCGACCCCCTCCCAGAGAGGTAAGAAAAGACATAACTCCTGGTCAGTATTGGCAAATGGATTTTTTTAGAATTGTTAAGTTGTAACCAATACCGATATTTATTGGTATCGGTGAATAACTTCTCTGGATGACCTGAAGGTTTCCCATGTTGAACCAATAAGGCAAAAGAGGTAACAAAACATTTACTAAAAGAAATTGTTCCAAGGTTTGGGATTCCTTTAGGAATGTCCTCTGATAGAGGACCACATTTTATAGCTGAAATTGTTAAAAATATGAACAAGATACTAAGGATCAACTGGGATTTACATAACCCCTGAACACCACAATCCAGTGGACAGGTAGTGAAAATGAATCAAACATTGAAACAATAAATTTCTGAATTATACCAGGAAACTCAGCACTGGGGACATAAGATGATGTCGTCCTGTTCCAGTAACGTGGCTTGGTATTGTAGCAAATGACTGGGCGTAAGCCAGTGGTGTCCTTTTTGTTCCAGTACAGTGAGTACAGTGTGGGGGACACGAACCGTTACCTTTTGGGCCATGGTCAATTTTCTGGCTTCTTGGATGATACAGATTGTAGCTGTGACTGCCTGCAGACAGCTGGGCCATCCTGAACTTACTTTATCTAATTTTTGGAGAAGTAAGCCACAGGTCTTTTCTTTACAGATCTCAGCAGTATCTGTCCCTAGTAGAATATACCAGGGTTATTTGACTTTCCTTACCTGGCCACTGCTCCAATTCCTTGGCCAGGATTGTTCCAAAGGTGGTCAGGTTATTTTTGAACGCTCATGGTAACACAGTCCAGCAGAACTGAGTCCTTTTCCCATTTGACAGATCTTCCCATTCAAAGGCAAATATATTTTGATTTTTTTTCTTCCAAAGGTATGCAAAAGAAAACATCTTTTAGGTCTAAAACAGAGAAATATGCATTTGATTCATTGATAGTTGTTAAAAATGTATATGGATTAGGATCCACCAGGTGGATATCCACTACTAGTTGATTATTGCTCTCAAATCTTGAACCAGTCTATATCCTTGGTTATGTGGATTGACAGTCTCATAAAAGTTCATATTTAAGAAAATTATTCAGTATCAGTTCCAAACATTTTCTAGTTTCCATACTGATAGGATATTGTTTCTTTCTTGCTGGTCAAACTCCTGATTTTAATATAATTTTCACCGGTTCCACATATTTTGCCTTTCCAGGTTTCTCAGTTGTCTATACAAAGGGAGTAACTGCATTTTTTTATTTCTTCTGGTACGTTTCCAAATTCCTCTACTTTGCTTTCTGTCTTTGTCTGTAATAGATATATCCGTCTGCCAGGCATTAGCTTTAGGAAAATGAAATTGAACTGTTCTGTTTTCAGTGTTGATTTGTGTACATTCATTTATTTAGAAATCCCATCCCAAAAGAGGCATTGGGCACTCTGGTAAATACAAAAATATATATTTGAATGGTTTTGAAAGAATGGTTTAACCTCTTACTTTCCCATGGCTCCAACAACAGGCATAGTAATCTTACTCATGAGTCTTTTACAAGTATTTATAACAAAATATTTTGCTCCTGTATCTACTAAAAATTTTAAAGTTTCATTCCCCGGTTTTACTGGAACCAGGGGCTTAGCTGGGAGTTTTCCTTTCCTGCCCCCAATCTCCATCATTTAGAATCAGTTTCCATCATAAGCAACTCAGCTTCAGGGGGTATTTCCTGGGGCTGACTGGTCCTTCTGTTTTTCAGACACTCATTCTTCTAGTGTCCTTGCTCTTTGTATAAAACACATTGATCAACTCCTAAAGATGTTAACTGTTTAATCACATTTCTATACCCTCTTCCCCTTCTTCTCTTTCTTTATTCCTCTTGCAATGAGGCTAAACATTTCTGAACTTGTAGTTTCTCTAAAATTGTTCACAGCTGCTGA